TATGCCGTATCGTCGTCGCCATGTCAAAGTAACGAATGTGAAACGTTGTGCAGTTTAACATTCGTTACTTTAACACTGTGTCAACGATATGATTTCTAAATAACTGTCATATTATTAGAAGTAACTGTTACTAAAAGTGACTGGCCATACTTAAGTAAAAACCTCAATCCAGCAATAACTAAGGTAATTTCCATCGGCTTAAGACTATCCTTTAAGATTCTTACCTATTATTTATTACTACATCTCAACAACGTTCTTATTAAATTTCAAAAATCTATAAAACTTCAGAGTTATCTTTAATCAATATCTAAACTTGAATAACCAAATTTCTCTAATCATACAAAAATTCATCTCTTAATATTTCTTGCTTCTTTTCTTCGAAGTCATATTTTGGTTTCTTGTTTCATTGTTCCCTTCTTTTGCTATATATATTTCGTTTATGGAGAATTGTCATTGTGGTGAGCACGAGATGAGAATGAAAAGATTTAGGAATAGTTTCGTTAAATACATTTTTTGTTTTTCCAGGAAGGGTGGTTACTTCTTTGTTTTCGAAGACAATGATACCTTGTTACCTTTCTGTTCCAATCCTTGAAAAAAAAAAAATTATATTCTTGACCTCATCATCCTGCGTTCTTTCGCCTACACCTCAAATACGAATCTAAACCATTCCCACAGAACAGATTCTATCGAAAAATACTTTAATTCGAGCTACCTCCTTTTAAGATTCCTTACCTATCTCCATTCTTATTACTCCCTCACTAACCTTTCAAAGATCATCCTCATATCTTCATTTCACCAACCAATCTTCATTGTACACGTGGAATGTCTATGCATGACTTTTTATTATTGTATTCCATTTATTTTATTTTCATACCTATGAGTAGTTTTTATTCATATATTTGTCTTTATTACACAATATATTTCAATGGTACTAATGCAGTCAGATAGATTTTTAATATACAGTATTCTTATTTTTAGGGAACTAAACATTCTAATATAAAATTCAACTATCCTTTCTATAATTTTCAAAAGTAATATCTCAACATCAGTAAGCATTTTTTAATCTTTCTGTCAAGTATTCTTTAATTGTTCCAAAAAAGTTATATAGCTAACATATAAGTGAATAATTTATAATATTCCAAAGATTACCCATTAGAAATACAAACTTATTTCTTCCGATTACTAGAAGAAAATAAAGTAGAAAATAACGTTGGTTGCGCTGTCTAATACAACCTATGCTACTATCCAGCTTACCAAGAGAGAGCCCCATTATTCAATGGAGAAGCGATTGGAATAATGAAGGCCCTCTATTGGATATCGAATTCCAAAGATAAAAACTGGATCATAGCAACAGACTCCAAAAGCGTTGTGGCAGCCATTGCTAACCCGTGGATAAGCAACTCCCTCATTAGAGAAATAATATACGTATGGTGGGAGATGAGAAAAAGATCAGTAAGCGTGGTCTTTGTTTGGATTCCACCACATAGTGGCATAACGGGTAATGAAAAAGTAGACCAAGCTGCTCATTTGGGGAGGAAGGGAGAGGTACCAGATATAACGCAAATAAATTGCATCACCGTTGAAGATTGGTTCTATGAAACAAAAAAAAGCTATTAAAAAATTTGGAAAATCAATGGAAAACACAACGAGACAAACTAATAAAAACCGAGTGCAACACATGGGTCAGAAAGCTCCAGAAAATCGAGAAGAGAAGTAATATTGTGCCGAATGTGAATTGGACACTGTCTTTTCAAACACGGTAGCTACTTAGAGGTCTCGAAGCGCCAACCTATAAAAAGTGTGACAACTACCTCAAACAGTTAAACATTTACTAATAGAGTGCCCCAATATAAAAAAAGACAAAAATTAAAGTTTTCGACGACATTGAAAGATATTTTGGGAGACAAGGAGGAAGATGTCATCATTCTCTTTCAATATTTATTAGAAACAAACCACTATAACAGAGTATAAAAATCAAGAATTACCGCCAATGACGCTCTAGGGGAGAGGCAAATACAAAAAAAAAAAAAAGTGAATAATTGATATAACAACGATTATCAACTTGGACCATAATTGGTATGTTACTCATCGACAACATAATAATGAGATAACATAAGAGTAGTTCATGTAAGACCAACCTTTAGTCATGTAACTGAAATTTTTTACTATGCTTGTCTCTCATCCAGCTCATTTTCAAATAATCGTGGGTGTAGCAATATCGTATATACATATCTTCACTTACGGATGAGGGAAGAGGGGGAGATAGAAACTTTCGAGCTGAAGCCTCCTTCCTCCCCGCCCCAAAAATCGAAACATATATTTTTTTCATTGATCCACATTTGCTTCTGTGAGTGACCTGTGCTAAATACTTAAACATGATTATTAAGTATTAAGTTTTTAAGTTTTTTAATGGAAACATCACTTTTTGTAAAATAAAATAAATCACAAATTTATCACTAAATTTATGTGTTGTCTTTCTTAGTAACAATGCAATAAATAAAATCCCTCGCCAAAAATGAAATCTTGGATCCGCTAGTGTATATATACTTGTTCGATATCTAGCTATTTCAGTATCCGAAAACATATTATAAAATCATATGTAAGTTAAGTTCATGTAAATCTGCTTGTTAAAAGTGGTTAGAGATATACTTTCAATATTTTCTGATAGGTTGCAGTATTCACGAACAGAAAGTTTGTAGATTGTCTTGAATATTTTTGATCCGTATTGGTTTGGATAAAAGTATTATTGGTTCTTCAGAACGGTAATTCAAAATAAATGATACCCTAAAACCTCAAAATAAGAGTATATTAAATGGTACTTCGGTCAGATGTAATTTTTGGTAGAGAAACTTGGACAGTAACCAAACAGCGAGAGAGATTGTTGAGTACATTGGAGAGAAAAATTCAGAGAAATATATATGGCCTCGCCAAAGAAGGGAATCATTATCGAATCAAAACAAATACAGAACTTAAGGACCGTATACGATGGACGAAAGATTTAGAGGTAGACCTAAATCTAAATTCACTGTGTGTGAGACATTGGAAGGGAGCTCCAGAGGATTTGTGAAGTGGATAAAAATACTTGAGCAGGCCAAGCTTCTTATCATAGGCTATAATAAGCCATAGAATAATATAATAGGCCGAAGAAAAAAAAAAGTCGGTTTAATCTTCGAGTTAAAGAAAACCGCAGATTTTCCGACGCAGTATCGTTATCCCCCAATAATAATGGCAGTGTCTTTTGTCACAACGCGGAGAGCAAGTTTCTTCAGCTAATGGGCCAAGGAAAGTACGCACACTACAAGAACATGGTGGAATAGGAAGAATAAGGTGTTTCTAAATGGTCACCGAACAAAGGGATGGGACAGTAAAGAAGTATAAGCTATGTTTGACTAATGCAATAGTTCACTGATTATCTTGCATAACAGGCAACTATCGTGTATTTTCTATTAATAAAAGCTCTTGTACCCAGACCTCTCGATTGAGGATGAGCGTTCACTAACGACATCAACTCATATTGAAGGTATAGCTTTGTGTTCAATTATCTGAACATGAAATTAGTACAATTTTTGGTCATGAGTAATGAAAAGGTAACTTTGGCATAAACTACATATAAGTACTTATATAATGAGAATTTCAAACCAGGTACAACATTCCAAATTACATCTAAACCAATGATATTTGAGATACCTATGTTTTAATATTATTTACAACAAAGGCGGTTTTCAATGGTTCATCTCATATGAAGAAGGACGAGAAATTAAACTGTTCTACTTAAACATAAATGTTTATCAGTTGATTTCGAAAACCTGCCGGCTATATCTTGTTCACTGTGTTTAAGAAGTCATGATGTAATCAAGGAGTATATAAGAAGCAGATTCGGCTTGCAAACGCCATTTAAGTAGTTGGTTTAGTTTCCATTTTCGTAAGGAATTGGAAATTCAAATTCAATATCAATATTAAGTGGCCGAGACAGCAAGGCATTCAATATCAATTCATGTCGAGATGAGAACAAATTATCTGACAATATTAGTTTAAAATCGTGTGAATGATTCAAATATACGGGCAATTACAAATAAGTTGTCGGAGGGAAACGTTATCAAATACTTACCGATACAGTCATCACATGCTAATCTAACCTCACGTGATAATCTAATGAATGCATCCGATAGGAAGAGGTGGGGATATGAGTCACTTTGGATTGGGAAGGAGTTAAAATAATTCCTTCTTTATGAACTCAAAGATATCTCTAATAAAACCATTCTTGTAGGCTATGCGCAGCATTATCCTAAATGATGGTAAAACAATTGTCTTGGTCTGAATAACTGATGACGTAATTAGTAGTGTTCACTATGTTGAAATCTGGAAAAGAATACACGTACAAAGACAAGAAGCTAATTATTAGAAGAACGGAATGTGAATGCCTTGCGTATCAATAATACGTTGTTTACAACCAGGAATGACCTCAAACCGAAAAACATCCACTAAATGCTGATTGATGTGAAAGATTTTAACGATCAGTACATTTCTTCACAACAATGATTGCTCTGTTTGAGTACGTATTTTCTCCTTTACATTCGCAAGAAGGCTTGGAAATCCTCTTGACAAGTAGAATCGTGTTACATTGAGTGAATCGTTTTAAGTTGCTTCGCTCTGATATTGATAATCACATAGGTATGGTGTCTGATTGCTGAACATGTACCCTGTGGAGTTATTTTCCAGGGCTACATAGGCGCTCTGCTCAGTGGCTTGCTTATCATTAGGAAAGGCAACATTTAGGCGACAGAAAGACATAGGCCGGAGGCCGGATCGAAGCAGGAATACATCGGAAATAAAAATTTTCTAATAAGGCAGTAATCTTTCATTTGTCGCCTGTAAGAGTGATTAGGTGGTGGGGATGGGGGCCTGTGACGTGGCAGGCATCCATTGGCCGAGGGGGGGCATGCGCAGCCGGTGGGTTCGATAACACTCACTCCCCCTCCACCGGCCGTCAGTCGAGCCGAGTCCTGGTACGCTGCAAGTTCGTATTGTCCGTGCTCGAGACTCGTGTCTGTGGGCTATGTACAGTGTCCTGTGAAATACCGTTGGATTACTGTTCTTCTTGATATTCCTGCTTTTGTGGATTACCATATACAGGTACTTTTGCAATTTGGAACTCTCGCTATTATGAGAATGTATGACCTAGTTAAGACGTAGCTGTGTTGTACTATGCGTATACATATGTTAGCCAATGCATGTTGGGTAATTATGCGGCTTGTTACCTGAGAATAAGGTTATGCTTGCAGGTAATGTGGACACGATGCGCACGCACTCTCTCTTCCGTCTCGCTCTCTCTCTCTCTCTCCCTCTCTCCCTCTCTTTCTCTCTCTCTCTTTCTCTTGCTCTGCCCTCAGGCTATCAACGCTATCTCTCCAATCCCTTGTAGTTCTCATCACGTAACCCCCCTCCCAAGTCAACCCTTCGGTTTTAACCTTCGGCGCGTCCTATTCAGTGTCTTTCTTATTCAGCTTGGTCTCTTCTCTCATGTTAATGAATTATTCAAGAGAGAGCTTCTTCAGATTAGAGTGTATATTTAGTTTCTTTTCAAATGAAAATTTGTTTGTCCATTTAAAACTTAATTTTAACCTTGTGCCAGCACTATAGAATAACACCTCTTAAAATATTGAGCACTTTCGAAAATGCATGAGAAAGTTTTGAGCATGAAACCTGAACAAATATTTTAACAAAAAAAAAAAGTTAACACTTAATCTCTGTTGCATGATAGTGAGTTAAAAAAAAAAGAGTGCATTTGAGTAAATATCGAGTGAGTGACAGCTTCTATAATATCGCACGATGTTTGCATTTTTTTTTTTTTTTGTTTGTTAAATCTCCATAGAGTGCTAACAGGAGACAACATATGGAAATATTTACCGAGGCAGAGGTGCTCCCGTTGAAGAAGGCAGACACAGTGCAAGTAGCAGCTGGGCTAAGGTAAGATTAGATAAGGTGCACACTAACAGATATTGTCCTAGACCGCTTCATTCATTCGAACGTTTTCTTTTCAAACGATCCAGCATTCTTTCTCTCCCTCCCTTGCATATTTATTCCGTGAGTAAGTGTCGTAACTATTGTTATTACATCCACAAAAAGTAATAACAAAATTCAACGATTTAGTGACATACGCGCGTAGACAAAAGTATCGATAAGGACGGAGATACAGGGACCGAATGTATCGGATACATTTTGTTCATTATTACAGTCAGTTTCAAATATATTGCCCCAGGCTTCCCCACCCTTCTGTTGCCTACCGACCAATAGGATCGCTCCGTTTTCAGGGATACCAACAGACTTGAAAACGTAGGGCCCATTACGAGGCCATTCCTACCTGTGGCAACTTTCTAATCTCTTTTACAGCTCCGTCTTCTGGTAATGTGAGGCACTTAAGTCTCCATTTTCTTTTCCAAATTATTTTTAAACATGTCTCATTTATGGGACGTTTAAACTTCTATATTACCTGCATTAAGCCAGTTGGAACTCCAGGCTGAACTCCCATTCATATGTGGTTGGTTTATTTATGATAAATTTGATGGTTCATATAAACTTTTTATCGCAATACAATACCTCAGATGACAAATATATAGCCATCAGCACATTAAAAAATAAAATTACGATTTATTTATATGAACATTATAAATTTAATCATATAATATATAAGTGATAAATTGTATTTTCGCATTGATCATGAGTTTAATTTGAATTATTATGCTATAAATAATTAATTACATTATTTACTAGCTAATATATATTGTTATTTTAGTGAACTATGAAAAAATGAATTTTGATGATTTTAATTAATTATTTATGATGTAGTGAACTACCAATGAAGAGTAATTACTTATCTAATTCGTAAATACATCAAATTTTAATTTATATATATATATTTATATTTATCTTATTATGTATTCTTTTAACAGGTATTTTCATCTATCTTAATACATTAGTGGTAAAATTGAAGTAGATTATACACTTATAGTATTATACACTAGTTAATTATTATCCTTAGAGTATATTATATGTATAATTAATAAAATTAAGAGAGAAATAGAACAAAAAAAAAAGTTAAAATTACAAAGAAGCGTCCTTATCATTTATCATTCATCATTGACAATCGTTATGTTTGCACCTTATCTTTAAATAATTATATATTTTAATGTATATCATGTTTAGATTTTAAATTATATAACATTCATAAGCCAACTTATTTATTAACTCAGACTTAAATTACAACAAACTATTAAACGAAATACGAAATATAAATACTAATATATTAAATTAAAATATATTATATATTAACTGTGTATGTATTCACCATATGTTATATATATATATATATATATATATATATATATAATATATATATATATATATATATATATATATATATATAATTCTAGCTATATACCCGAGGGTATACTATCCTCTGGAGAGGGAGAGGGGTCAATCTCGTTAAGTCGCTGACTCTAATGAGGGGGGGGTTTGAGTTGTAACAGTTGGTGCAGTCATCCACATCTCTTGGGTAACATCACGCCTTATCCTAATCTCCTATACTGTAACAAGTTTCTGAACCGAAATGTTAGGATATCATGTTTCACGGTCTTCTGAATAAATGTATTTCTTTATAGATACTTAGGAAATCTGGGGATCTTTAAAGTCTGGTGAGTATGGGGAACTAAGATTGTTCTTAAACTTGAATTCTGGAGAATGATTGTTCTGTAGGAAACTTGAATAAGCAAAGATTAAATAAATGAATACAAATATTCTTACTTTATATATAATGTTAAGTATTGAATATAGAAATGATTTCATTCCCTCCGAAAGAATGATGTTTTCACGTTAGTAATATATATTCATCAATTTCAACATAAAAGTTAAGATATGTTATGAAAATTTCAAAACATCATTAGGGCCTAAAAAAGAACCAGTAGAACTAATCGTTCAGTTTTGAAGTTATAGGATAGACCAATATCCCTATAAAGAATAAAATTAGGCTAGATATGCTTTGACAAAGGAATTGCTGAAGTTCTTGAACTTAAACATTCTTACAAAAGGAGAAAATGATACTTTTTCTGCCTTGCTAAGGATTGCCCAAGACCTCCATTCTGCCATAGATGAACAGAAAATTTCCATCCTAATCCTTTTTGACTACTCCAAAGCGTTTGATTCCGTCAATCATGAGATCCTTCTTTCCAAACTCCCATATCAAATAGTCTCCTAAAATGGTTCCTATCATCCTTATCCGATCGATTTCAGACAGTTGAAATTCCGAACAAACCTCCATCTTCACCCCTTCAACTAATACGGGGTGTTCCTCAGGGTTCCTCACTCTCCCCGGCCCTTTTCTCTATTTATATTAGTGACCTTCCTGATGCCATTCAACACTCCTGTCATCACCTATATGCCGATGATTTCCAAATTTACCAACAATTCCAACCTTCTGAGATGCCTGAGGCTATCGACTACATCAACAGATAGGCAGAAATAAATGAATCAAAGCTGAATGCAAATAAAACTAAGGCTATTCTCAGCTGATTCAGACATCTCAATAGCTCTCTTACTTTCTTCTACTTAACCTCAATAACAGTCTCATCCATTTTTCTCCTACAGCCAAAAATCAAAGAGTAACCTTTGACCAGAACCTGTCCACTTGGCAACAGTTAACCAACAAATAACGATCATTTGTAAATGATTTAAAACAAATTTAAACGGGCATACCAATAAGTTAATAAGAGTCTACAGCTGTCATTCTCCGAAATATGAGGAGACTAAAAATGCATCGAATGTGAAATTTTCTTCCTTTAACAACCAAAGTAATTGAATCAAACTAGGGAAAAGGTACTATTGTATACTGTCCTTCCTAATTCCTGATATGTCATTATTTCCCAAAAAAGTTCATTTGCTAATTGTCAACGGTATAGAATACTGTGACAGTTGTCAAATACAAATTAATATTATAGTGTTTAATTAAAAAAAGTGTTTAAGAAGAACTAGAAGTTTGAACTAACTGTTGTGATAGAGTAGCTTAACGAAGGGGCAAGCGTGGGCGTGTAATTTTGTGGGAATGAATAATGATTGATTCACTAAAAGAGCAATTGACGTTCATTCTAGGTATCGACCAATACGTAGGTTGGAGGATTGTTTTAGGTCTTGTGTCAAAGGTTTGGGTTTTAATAGGAGGAGGAATCTTCGTAGGCAACCACAACCTGGTTTGATGTCACAACGAAAGTGTGGACAGCATTGCTAAAACTTTTCATCGTTCTTTTTATATTATTATGTTATAATCTGTTGTTTTTATGGATGAATGAAGAGTAAATCTGGACTTTACATCACTAACTCAACGTGGTTTGCTATTGATGTAAATAGAAACTGGTGTATTTTAGTGATTTTCAATGAGTACTCGGTAAATGAATGACTAAATTATGAAGTACTCGGCATTGGTCGCATACATATTTGTTGAAAACGGATTATTATTGCTCTTTTCGTGGAAATAAGATCAGGAATTATTTCAGTGTGATGTATGAAACTATTCGCATTTTTAATATATATTATCTTAACTGGGATTTTCTTAATAATAATACATAATGGGCCGTATTTAAAATTTATTATGGATGTTGATATTTCATTACAATAGTTGGTATAATTTTGTTTATCTGCTGTAGACCCACGATATTTAGTTATGACTGACCGGTGCATGTAACATTTTCAAGATTTTGAAAACAACGCAAAAAGTTAATTTATACTTACATTTTAAAAGACAATAATCTATTAAAATGTAAATGGAGAGTATCAATATGTACTTTGTTCATTTTATATGTTTATTTTTTTTTTTAAATAAGGATGTGTTCATGGACAGTATACTGAAAATAACTAGACTAGGAGCAAATTACACTTGTTTCATTTCTGAATTAACTGATTCAATTGTTCTTGAGTTGTGTTTATTTAAATTTGTAATGGTGGCAACAAATCGAGGTACACTGGCGAGGAACAATAAAGAGCTATAAATGATGATTAAGTTCTTTCTCGGTTTAATACCTTAACAATACTCTACTCCACTGCAAATGCCATATGAAGTATTAAAACTATAAATAGTAGAGGCAGAC